TTTTTTTTTTTTTTTTTTTTAATGTTTCCTAATAAAAGAGAAGCTGCATTTTATTGGTTTTTATTTTTAATTTTCTACATATTTGAGCTGAGTCCTGAGACACTTAGCTCCCCCTCTCCCATCCCCTCACCCTTCCACCCTGCTGGGCCCCACCACAGGCCCAGGACCCTGGAATTCCGTTTTCTGATTTGTTTGGGATTTTTTTTTTTTAAAGATGTTACATGGTGTTTCCAAGCCAGCAAGTTACCACCCTCCGGTGTCTCTTCTCTCCACATCTGTAACTTCTTTTTCCAGGTTTTATTTTCAGTTTTAAATTCCTAATAAATTATTTGAAAACGGTGCTGCGCTTGTGAGTGTCTTGTGTCTCTGTGCATTCAAGGATACCTTATTTTCCTGCTGTAGGGATGGCAGGACTCACCTCCATCCTCTTAGGGTCCTGTCTGGGTCCAAGAATTAAACTGACATAAAGTAGATGAACAGGGACAGGTGCGGTGTCTCATGCCTGTAATCCCAGCACTTTGGGAGGCTGAGGTGGGTGGATCACTTGAGGTCAGGAGTTCCAGACCAGCCAGGCCAACATGGCGAAACCCTGTCTCTACTAAAAATACAAGAATTAGGCAAGTGTGGTGGCAGGCGCCTGTACTCCCAGCTACTCAGGAGGCAGAGGCAGTAGAATTGCTTGAACCTGAAAGGTGGAAGCTGCAGTGAGCTGAGATCATGCCACTGCACTCCAGTCTGGGTGACAGAGTGAGACTGTCTCAAAAAAAAAAGAACAGGAAAAAAGCATGCACATTTATCAAAAGTTCTGCGTGGCATGGGAGCCTTCATAAAGAAATGAAGGTGGAGTGTGGTGGCTCACACCTATAATCCCAGTACTTTGGGAGGCCGAGGTGGAAGGATTGCTGAGGCCAGGGGTTCAAGACCAGCCTGGGCAACATTTTGAGACTCATCTAAACAAAATATTAAATGATTTAGGCATGGTGGCACAAGCCTGTTGTCCCAGCTACTCAGGGGACGGAGGTAAGAAGATTGCTTGAGCCCTGGGAGTCGGAGGCTGCAGTGAGCCGTGTTCTTGACATTGCATTCCAGCCTGGAGGACAGAGCAAGTTGCTCTCACTCTCAAAAAAACAAAACAAAACAGAAGAAGTGAAGACCTAAAGAAGCAGTTAGAATTGTTTATGTACTGGATTGGACAAAGAATAGTAAATTATGAAAAAGCCACTCAATTATGTGGAGAAGCTTAAAAGATAAGAGCTATTTTGGGCCAGGCACAATGACCCTCGCCTGTAATCCCAGCACTTTGGGAGGCCAGGAGCTTTGGGATCGCCTGAGCTCAGGAGTTTGAGGCTGGGCAACATGCTGAAACCCCGTCTCTACTAAAATACAAAAAATTAGCCAGGTGGTGCACTCTTGTTAATCCCAGCCACTTGGGAGGCTGAGGCACAAGAATCACTTGAGCCTGGCAGGCAGAGGTTGCGGTGAGCCAAGGTCGCGCCACTGCACTCCAGCCTGGGTGACAGAGTGACTCTGTCTTAAAGAGAAATCTATTTTAGCTGGGCACGGTGGCTCACAACTGTAATCGAAGCACTTTGGGAGGCTGAGGCAAACAGATCCCGACACTTTGAGTCCAAGAGTTCGAGACCAGGCTAAGTGATGTGGTAAAACTCCATCTCTACAAAAAATACAAAAATTAGCTGGTTGTGTGGTGGTGCATGCCTGTAGTCCCAGCTACTTGGGAGGCTGAGGTAAGAGGATTGATTGAGCAAGGGAGGCAGAGGCTGCAGTGAGCCAAGATTGCACCACTGTATTCCAGCGTGGGTGACAGAGCAAGACCCTGTCTCAAAAAAAAAAGTTACTTTAACAAGGTCTGCACGGAATTATCTCTGTGTCTACTTCTCGCCCTTGGAGATAAGGATGCTGCCTTTCCTTCTAGTATAGGTTGGGGGGTCTTTCACTCAGGAATTTCATCATCTTCTGCTTTTCAGAAACAGCACAAACCTGAGCATGATCGTCTTGTTCCTGCTGTTTTTCAAGTGCCTTTAACTTAAATAGAGTGAATATTTTTAAATATTCTCTGCACTTTCTCCCTCCTGTTTTCTCCTGGGAAGGTCTTTACTTTCCACTTGACCTAGAGATTAGTGTTGACAATGAGATACCACTTCACACTCATTAGGAAAGCGACTATTTAACAATTTTTTTTTTTTTTTGAGACAGGGTCTTGCTCTGTCGCTCAGGCTGGAAAGCACTGCTATGATCTCAGCTCACTGCAGCCTCTGCCTCCTGGGTTCGAGCAATTCTTCTCCCTCAGCCTCCCGAAGAGCTGGGATTACAGATGCTCACCACCACACCTGTCTAATTTTTGTATATTTAGTAGAGACGGGGTTTAACCATGTTGGCCAGGCTGGTCTCCAACTCCTGACCTCAGGTGATCCACCCACCTCAGCCTCCCAAAGTGCTGGGATTATAGGTGTGAGCTACCACGCCTGGCCTAAAAATAATTTTTTTTAATGGACAGGGCCAGGTGTGGTGGCTCAAGCCTGTAATCCCAGCCCTTTGGGAGACTGAGGTATGCAGATTCACTTGAGATCAGGAGTTCAAGATCAGTCTGGCCAACATGGTGAAACCCCATCTCTACTAAAAATTAAACAGCCAGGCCTGGTGGCACACGCCTCCAATCCCAGCTACTCGAGAGGCTGGGGCAAGAGAATTGCTGAAACCTGGGAAACAGAAGTTGCAGTGAGCCGAGATTGCCCAACTGCACTCCAGCATGGGCGACAGAGTGACTCTGTCTCGAAAAAAAAAAATGCTGGTGAGGCTGTGGAGAAATTGAACCTTTGTGCCTGCTGGTGGGAATGCAAAATGGTGCAGCTGCTGTGGAAAACATGTCAGCGGCTCCTTAAAAGACGAAACAGAACTAACATAGGATCCAGCAATTCCACTCCTAGGTATATACCCTAAGGAACTGAAAGCAAAGATTCAAATAGATCTTTATTTTCTTGAGACAGGGTCTTGCTCTATTGCCCCAGCTGGAGTGGAGTCTTGACCTCCTGGTCTCAAGTGATCCTCCCACCCCAGTCTCCTGAGTAGCTGGGAATACAGGTGCATAACACCATGCCCGGCTAATTTTTGTATGTTTTTGGTAGAGACAAAGTTTTGCCACATCACCCAGGCTGGTCTCAAACTTCTGAGCTCAAGCGATCCTCCTGCCTCAGCCTTCCAAAGTGCTGGAATTACAGGTGTGCACCACCACACCCCGTCCTTCAAACAGATATTTGTACACCTGTGTTCATAGCAGCAGTATTCATGATAGTCAAAAGGTAGAAACAACCCAAAAGTCCATTAATGGATAAATGGATACATAAAATGTGGTCTATCTATACAATAGTTTATTTATTCAGCCCAAAAAAGGAAGGAAATTGGGCCGGGCACAGTGGCTTATGCCTGTAATCATAGTACTTTAAGAGACCAAGGTAGGCAGATCACCTGGGGTCAGGAGCTCTAGACCAACATAGTGAAATCCCGTCTCTACTAAAAATACATAAATTAGCTAGGCATGGAGGCAGGCACCTGTAATCCCAGCTATTTGGGAGACTGAGGCAAAAGAATTGGTTGAACCTGGGAGGTAGAGGTTGCAGTGAGCCAAGATAGTGCAACTGCACTCCAGCCTGGGCAACAGAGCAAGGCTCTGCCTCAAAAAAAAAAAAAAAAAAAAGGAAGGAAATCCTGTCACACGCTACAACATGGAGAAACCTTGAGGACATCACATTGCATTGTGTTACGTCAAATAAGACTGAATGAAATATTTTATGTTTCCACTTACATGAGGTACTAAGATTAGTCAAATTCATAGAAACAGAAAGCAGAATGGTGGTTACCAGGCCCTGGGGGAAGGGAGAAAGGAGAGTTGTTTAATGGGTGCAGTTTTGGATTTGCAAGATGAAAAAGGTT